AAATACATCGTTGTGTTCGATCAGGAGGGTAGTAAGGTCGGCCTTTGCTTAGGGGGATAATTGGCTGCCGACTTTGGCAGTTTTCGTCGGGTCGGTGGGGTCGATAGGAACCTCAACGAGTTCCTCCACTGGTTCCCCTCTAACCAGCTCGTCCTCATCTCTGACGTCAAGTCCTTCAATGATCATAGCCTCCTTGAGCTTAACTTCCTTAAGTGAGGCGACATAACATTCTTTGGCCACGATCTGCTCCCCCTTCACTGTGCCGACCCCAAGATCGGTGGGGAACTTGATGGCAAGGTGAAAAGTGGATGTGATAGCTTGGAAAGCATTTAGGGCGGTGCGGCCAAGGATGATGTTGTAGGCAGATGGGCAGTCGACAACAAGGAAGGTGAGCAACTTTGTGGTCTATCGCGGGTACTCGCCGATTATGATGGAGAGATCGATGGAGCTGATAGAGGTCACCCGGTCGCTAGTGAAACCGACCAAAGGAGTTTGGAGAGGAGACATACTTTCTTCCCTGACCTTGAGCTGGCAGAAGCAATTGAGGAAGATGATATCTGAATAACTGCCATTGTCGACGAGAACCCGTCTGAATTTGTAGTTGGAGAGGAGGGCCAAAATAACGAGAGGGTCGTCATGGGGGTAATGGATGCCTGTGCAGTCGGTGTCCGTAAAGGTGATAGGCTCGGTCCACTGCCTGGGCTGTTTGGAGGGTCAGTCCAATGTGGCAACTTCTTTGTCTGAGCCCTGCCTTATTTTTCTGAGTTCTGCCCGCTGAGCTGAGCAGGATGGTCCTCTACAAGCAAGCCTGCCGGAAATAACTCTGATTTCTCCAATAGGTGGGACGGGGTGACTTTGCGCCCGAGGTTGCTATGGAGGGCGATCATGACCTTGGTTAGGTTGTGCTGGTTGTCGGGGAGAGGTGCGCTGGCGGTTGTTTCTGATGGGTTCAGTCCGTTGTCTCTGCTGAGGGCGAGTTTTCGTGAATCGACTCAGACGTTCTTGGCGAATCAAGCTCTCGACCTAATCTTTGAGGTTAACACACTCTTCGGTATTATGGCCGTGGTCTTGGTGAAAACGACAATATTTGGACTGGTCTCTCCGATTGGAAGGAGTTCGTGATGGCTGGGGCCATTTTAGGGGGTAATCCCGCTGGATCTAATTGAGGACTTGTTCCATGGGGGAATTGAGGGGTGTGTACCGCTTGAACCGGCCCGGCGGTCGGGCTGGTGCCGATCGATCGGCTCGGAGGGGTTGATCGGTTTAATGCGGTGTTGGGTTATTGTACTGGGTGTGTCTGGTTTCTCTCTTCTCCCTAGGGGTGGGATTTTTGGCTGTAGGGTCTTGGCCAACGGCTAGGGAATCTTCGGTGTTCATGTATTTTTGAGCTTTGGAGAGTAGGGTTGCCATGGAGGTTGGGGGGTTTTTAGAGAGGGAGAAAAGGAAGTCAGATGACCGTAGACTGGCCATGAAAGCTGTAAAGATGACCTTGTCATCGTTTTTTGCTACCTGCAAGGCTTTGGTGTTGAAACGGGTAACGAAATTGCGCAGCGACTCTCCCTCAGTCTGACAGATGTTGAGGAGCTGGGTTGCCGGACGCTGCTGGTGCTAGGCTCCAATGAAATGGCCAAGGAAGGAGTCACTGAGGTACTGGAAAGTAGAGACAGAGTCTGCTGGCAATTGACTAAACCAAAGTCGAGTTGACCCCTTGAGTGTCACAGGGAAAGCCCGACACATGATTTCGTCAAGGAATGCATGGAGGATCGTGAGGGTTTTGTAGGTCTCCAAGCGGTCGACTGGATCCGTCGAACCATGAAAGAAGTCGATAGTGGGCATTTTGAACTTGGGGGTAGAGGTTTGTCCCGGATGGAGGCGACGAATGGTGAGTTGGCTGTGGTGGAGGGTTTATGCTGTATGTTCTGCATGACGCCTTAGAGTTGGAGCTTCATGGCTCGGAGTTCTGCATCCCAGAGAGGAATGTTATCACTACCGGAGGGCAGCGGGGGCTAGACGTTGCTGGCCTCTCCTTCAGGGGTTGGTGCCAGGACTGATGGATGTGGGGCTCGGGGTAGTGGATTTACATATGGGGGAGGGGGTCGGAAGCCTTCCATGTTGGGCGGATTAGGCTGTTGGATAGTATGGCTTGGGGCTCGCTCTTGATTGGGTGGGATATCTGGAGGTGGTGAAGGAGGCATAAGAAAGTTTCTTTGGAGTAGAGCATTAATCAGGACTTGGTTTTACTCGGCCAGGCAGTTAATGCTGTCAGTGAGCTCGGTGAAATACGGTGGTGGGTTGTTTGTATTGGGAGGGTCGGCTTGGTGGTCAGGAACATTGGGATGGGAAGCCATGGATCTAGTTGTGACCATTCACCTTTGTAGGTGGTAGGAAGGGGTTATTGGAAAAGGGCCTCCGGCGACAATGAGCATAACTGGTGCGCGGAGTAAGAGATTTCCCACAGACGGCGCCAACTGATGATACAGTTCGTTCCAGGCGGAACGGGTCAGATTGATCCACGCTCCTCAATCCTACGTCCGAATGACCAAGCCCACCGGAAGACCTGCACACAAGTTCAATGGGGAACGGGAAGTCCCCCAGCGAACCCTCCGACGAGCAAGTTAGAAAGAGAAGTGGAGTGTAGTGATGGATTAAAGATAGAAAGCTTAACCTTCTTTTTGTCTTCGACCTTTGCTTATATCGTCTGGTAATTATTTCGTTGTCCCTTGCGACCTGTCACTTTGGCCGAAAGTCTATGTTCTAGCTTACCTTGTTCATGGTGAAGGCGTTCTGTTTCGACGGAGAAGGGTTATCGCAATAAATGCTGTAAGGGGCCTCATTAATGGCGATGTGCCGTGTCAATAACTTTGCAGATCTTTGTCTGCTGATGTGGCTTGCCCTTCTCTCGCCATGTGTCTTGGTGTCATTGGTTTTTATTGCTACATGGGGCTTCAGCAGTACTGGGCTTTAGCATTTGAGTTATGTATTAGGCCTTAAATGGTAGGCTATAATCTTTATGGGCTTACCCACGTCAAATATTTCTTTACTTATTGTACTTAGTTTATTTTATTTTTTTAATAATTCAATAAGTCTTATAGGTGATATACATATTAAAATACTCCTAATAATAATATGGTGAAGTGCGCAATAATATTCACATTGATAGTGAATATTCCATGATGTAAACATTCATACTATTAATGTGAACATTCACATTGTGAACGTGAATATTAAATTTATTTAATGTGAATGTTCGCATTACCAAATTGTTAAGAGTTTAAAAAATATTTTTAAAGAGTAAAATTGTCCATAAAATACATTAAATATGAAAAATAAGATTTGGTGAATCAAATGTCCACAATGAGATTTATTTGAATACAAGAATATAAAATGAATTAATTGGGATACAAATACTGAAAAGATGATTTCTAATAATTTGAATTATTTTTTTTCAAAAATAAAAAATAAAACAAGTTTAATTTTGTAACAAAAACAAGATTCCGAAACTACCCTCCAGTCCCTATACCCTACGTGGCAATTTTATCCTCTTCTCTCATCGCTCGCAAGTTTCCCAACCACAGTCCAAAAAGTCTCACCCCCGAAACCCCTCCTTTCAATCAACCCTTGTCTTTTCTTCCCCGGTTCCTCGCCCCCTGTGGTTTCAGTTTCTCGGGAAAAAAAATTATTTAAATTTTTTCCAGCTCTCCAATCAATCTTTTCCGATCAATTGACTAGTTAATTGAATCGAACATCGAAACCCTAGCTTTCTTTGATCCCCTCAAAGGTTCGATCGGCCGATCTGATTCCAAGCATGGAGAGGATCGTCGGAGGTAAATACAAGCTCGGCCGCAAGATCGGAAGTGGATCATTCGGAGAAATCTTTCTCGGTGAGTTCTCATATATATATATATATATTACACACACGCAGAATTCATTTTCGTTTTGTGTATCTGACGCCGGTGATTGTGTATATTTGCAGCTACTCATGTTGATACGTTTGAGATCCTTGCTGTGAAGATCGTGAGTCTCAATCGATTTCTCTCAGAATTGTTTCAATTTTTTTTTTTAATTTTTTTTTTCATTGCTGTTGAATTTCTTGATTGTTAACCTTCAGTTGTTGTTACAATTGATTCGTTGATTTTACGTGAGTAGATCATGTTCTTGTTTTTGCATGCTTTTTTATTCAAATTAAAGGAATTTAAGTCAAAATTTCGTCTTTTGGCCATATAAATTTTCAAACTTTAACTGTTCAATTTATCTCTGTGTATATATATATATATATATACCTGTACATTGAAATATATATAGTTGATTTATATTTTTCTTAATTGATTTGTAATTAGGATTTTTCAGTAGGTTAGACATGTTTGATAACATAGATTTACTGTAAAACATTAACTCAGATTTAAGTTCAATATGTAAAAGAGAAAAGGCAGCAGCTGTAATAATGAATAGTGGTAGGGTCGGTTCATGCAGTGAAAAATGCATCTTTTAGACTTGATGTCTTTAATTTCTCAACGATTTTTATACAATCAATTTGTTAATTGTGTCTGAGATGGTGAATTAGGTTGTGAAATAATGTTGTATTAGCTCAAGCACATCATATTATAATTTTAGTCGTATTTGACTGGAGCTTACTGCCTTTTGTCTTGTATGCCTTCTTCTTAAGGATAATTGTATTTACATTTTCCATTTTTTCAGGAAAACAATAAGACAAAACATCCGCAACTGTTTTACGAAGCCAAGCTATATAATATCCTACAAGGGGGAAGTATGTAAAATCGTTCAATAGTAATTTTTTTCCATACGTGTTCCCATTTTCAAAAGTTTCTACATGAGTGAAATTAGATTCATCTTAGTGAATTGTTCCGTTTTATCTCTTTATTATGGGGGAGGCAATAAATAAAAAACTTATTATAATTAAGTTCCTAAAATAAAAAAAATTTCTTCTAAAGTTTATGTAGAGTATCTTATTTCAGATCAGTGAAAAAAATATGGATAAAAAGTCATTTTTGACCATGCTTAGTCCTTCCGTCCATCACAATCGACATCACCCCTCCATCTCTTACAATCACTGCCTGGCGCCGCCCCTCCATCCCTCACAATCTCTGACTAAGTTACAGCCCACTGATGTAAATAAGGAAATGAAATATATATATATATATATATATCTGAGCGGAAATGGGTTTGTAATAGATCATGATATGAGAATAAGAAGTCATGAACCTCAGTTCATACCAATTGTTGGTACACAGCTGTTTATAGTTGCCGTGCAAGAAGCATAGGGCTTACTTCCCACAAATTTCAAACATGGATAGTACAACATCCTTAAGAGAGTCATTGGCATAGAAATTATATTGTGTTGTTGAAGTAAAGTATACACAGACTTCACAAATTGTAATTCCTTATTTTTTATTCTTCCATGCGGGTTGCAGTGGATGGAGGAAGAGAGGGCTGTGACAGAGGAGAGTAGGGAGGCAATGGTAGTGGGGAAGGGATGAGTATATGGATAAATATGACATTTTGACTGTATTCTTGCCTCATATGTAATGTAAATAATTGGCTATACATAGACATTATAAGAATTATTTTTTAATTGGTAGATTTAAGTTTTAACTGTGATGAGTTTGTCATTTTGTTGCCTTAATTATAAGAATCCCTTATTATTATTGATTTGTGGTTTTGATTTGGTGTTCGTGTAGGTGGTATTCCTAGCATCAAATGGTCTGGCATAGATGGGGAAGATAATATACTTGTCATGGATTTGCTGGGACCAAGTCTTGAAGATCTGTTTGTCTATTGTGGTAGAAAGTTTTCATTGAAGACAGTCTTGATGTTAGCTGATCAAATGGTGAGTATTATTTCACATCATAGTGGACCATAGATGCAGAAGAGTTAACTTGTTAATATATCAACAGTTTGATGTGCGAAAATGTTGCATGTAGTTAGCCATTAAACATCTTTAATGGTTATTGTTACTATTCCGCAAGAGAAAATGGATATTTTAGTTGCGTTAGCATATTTTTAAAGTAACTCGAAATTGTATACTCTTCAAGCTGATTCCACATGTTTTTTCTACAAGTTACGGTGTCAGCAGCCACCAAAAGACCAACCAAAGAAAGACTCACCAAAGAAAGACTCCTTTTTATTCATTGGTCACTGACACTTAAAATCTTATTCATCTCATTCATGCTCAATTATTGTTTTAATTATTTATTGTTGTTGACTTTGTGCTGTTATTGTTTATATTTATAGATGCCTGTTCGAAGAAGTTGTTTTTAGAAATTGCATTCTGATGTAAAAATCATCTTTATCTCATTTTTCTCCTTTTCCAGGTAACAAGAATAGAGTACGTACACTCTAAAGGGTTCTTGCATAGGGACATTAAACCTGATAACTTTCTCATGGGCCTTGGTCGAAAAGCAAATCAGGTAATCGCTAATTCCTTTACACTTGACCCTTTGACACGGATGGCCATTTTACTTATTTTCTCTCTAGCTTGTGAGTTCTCATGCATTCACTGTAATAATTGCTCATCAGGTTTACATTATTGACTTTGGGCTTGCAAAAAGATATCGGGATTCTACAACCAATCGCCACATTCCTTACAGGTATCCTTCCTGTCGAATTTGAGCCTGGACCCTTGTTTGTTTTGTGTTTCTTTGCTCATGTTATCAATCTGATTTCATTTGCAAATACTTCTGTTTTTTCTGATCCTTACTATGTGGAAGCACTTTGACATCTGCTCTTTTCTGTAACCACCTGTTGTCTATTAGCTTTTCTATATAGTAATATTCTATTCAGTTTCTGAAATTGATTCCTTTGTGAATAAGTAATATGTTTACGGTTTACTGTGACTTTCGTATGCTATGATGACAGAAAGCCTTTTTTTGTCCTTCAAAAATTTTATGCAGGGAGAACAAAAACTTGACAGGGACTGCACGTTATGCAAGTTGCAATACTCATCTTGGCATTGGTAAGCATAGAATGCTTTCTTTAGCTTTCCTTGTTTGAAAGCAGGCGTTTGATAGGCATCTTTTTGTGCCTTTACTATAGAGCAAAGCCGGCGGGATGATTTAGAGTCTCTTGGATATGTACTTCTATATTTCTTGAGAGGAAGGTATTTTTTTCTAAATGAGTTCCTCTTTTCTTTCTTTCTTTATTTTTTTTTGGTAATTTTGTCATGGAGTGACTTGTTGCATATGGTAGTTGTGGATCATGTGAGCAATGTATTCAAAATCTAAATCATGTTGGTCTGTGGTTGAATGCATACATGATACGCGTGTGCATATTTACGTGCTCATGTTTATGTTGCCTGCTTATTGTGTTCCCATTTGCAATGTTTGTGCATAGCCTACCATGGCAAGGTTTAAAAGCTGCAACAAAGAAGCAAAAGTATGACAAGATATGTGAGAAGAAATTATCAACTCCTATTGAGGTACGTGTCTGCCATCTATTTATGCTGTCAGAGTCAACCCCCTTCCCCTCTTGCATTTTATTGCTAAGTTACATGCAAAGTTTGTACTGTCAAGTGTTAAATCAATTTGAACTGACTTGACTGTTGTTTCTTGAAGGTTTTATGCAAGTCTCATCCTGTGGAGTTTGCTTCATATTTCCATTATTGCCATTCATTGACATTTGATCAACGGCCTGATTACGGATTCTTAAAGCGTCTATTCCGTGAGTTGTTCAGCCGTGAAGGTAGTGGCTTATGGATGTTTGTTGCTTTTACACTCAGCACATTTCATTGCTCATAAAACATAAGAGCCTGTTTGGCTGTGTTCGTTTTCTTGATTTTTGTTTTTCGTTTTCATTTTTCTTGTTTTTGTTTTTATTTATTTATTTATTTTTGTTTCTGACAGGATATGAATTTGATTACATATTTGATTGGACTATCCTAAAGTACCAGCAAGCACAAAAGAGTAAAACTCAGCCGCACTTATCTGTTAGTATCTCACTACTTAGTTCTAGTCTCCTCTCTTAGTGCCTGATAGGATTTGCATGTGTTTGATTCAATATAATATCTACAAGTAGTGGTTTTTGGCTTTAAAGCTTTGTCACTTCAACGTTTGTTGTATAAGCTTCATTTGCATAATACTGTAGTTGCTTAATTTGAAATGGGATCTTTTTATGCTTCTGACAAGTTTCAATATCCAAAATTTACAGCCAGTCCCTGGAGAGGGCAACAGTAGAGCAACACCAATGGATGTGGACAAATATCAAGGTTAGATCTCGTTGGTCCACTTTTTGCATCTGGTGAGATAATTGCAGTCAAACAATCAGAAGTCATTTCCATACCCTGAAGGAGATTTAGCATATCTTCATTAATGTCTCAAGTATTCTCTGTAGTTGTTCATCTTGCTTTTTGAGACAATTGGTGTAGAGAGAACTCATTGTCCCCATTTGGATAGTATAATTCAATTGAAATTGTGGTTTTGTGGCATATAAGCAGTGATGTTTGGTGATATATTAACCTGCAGATGTATATTAATTACTTCTATGGAATCAGAAACATGATTTGTGCATTATCAAATGGTGACAGGCAATCATGCTTCTTCAGCTGAGGTAACGGAACGCATGAGATTGGGCAATCCTGGTAGTCCTGCCATTCGCATGCAGTTTAAATCCCCGAAGGGGAGGAATTTGAATTCAGAAAATCCCCTTGAAAGAAATGTAAGTCATCTAATTTTCTGTTTTATGAACATGAAACCTTCCCCGTAATATTGCTAGTTGGATGGTGATGTAAAATTGCTTAGTTTTACTTGTATAATGCAACTCATTAGTTGCATAGCATAATTTTCATTTACCTAGACCTTTGTTACTTTTATCATTCAGTTTAGCTGGATCACTACAAGTTTATGGTTTTTGTTTTTTGGGTAGATTGCGAGCAATACAGAATTGCCATCGACTTCATATTCTCCTGCTGGCGCATCAAAACAAAAGGCCTCTAAAGCTGTGTTGCCTGCTGAAAGCACAAACTTTAGTCGTGGGAATGTTGATAAAATTGGTCCTTCAAGCAGCTGGATTTCTTCCCTGCACCGTGTTTCTTCTTCCAAGTGATCATATATGGTAACTTTGTTTTTGTTATACATTTTAATGCATTCAGGGTGGTAATATGGTTATTTTTGTTTGGTTATGGCAATTATATATTCCTCATTTTTATGTTGCAGCTGTTGTCCTGTGGATTTGGTAATGATCTTCATGATGCATCTAGGGAGGTTTGAATGTAGCATGGATATGGATTTCCCATCATTTCTCTATGGATGCAAGTTCATTTTGAAAAGTCTCAAGATAACAACAAACTCGTGGGTTGACTCTTGATACTGACCACCCATAGCTCTGTTGACAAGATTTAGTGATGGATCTATAGAGCAACAAAGTTGTCTGATGTGACCAACACGTTCCTAAGGTGACTAAATCATTGGTTGATCCTTGAACACAGACCACTCAGAGCTTGGTTCCTGTGCTGTACATAGATGTCAAAACTACAAAGAAACTGTGTTATATGGTTTTGTGTAACATGAATGACGTGTGAACTGTTTTTTTTTTTTTTTTCTTTTTTTCTTTTCTGCCTTAATTCTTCTGTTAACAGATCATAGAATTCCTTTTTTGCTTACAGTGGTTGTTGACAGTGTTTTGCTTGTTTGTTTATTGGCCCATTTGTATTGTAACCTTATTGCTTATACCTTTTGGATCAGAGTCCCTGATATATCTTGGAAACAGACTTCCATTAATGAAGCACAGAATTTTTATGTTTCTGTTGCCAATAGATTGTGCCTACTTGCGTGGAGCATTCCTGAGGCAGAAGAAAATGACTTGTGCTAAAAATGACTTTATTTTGTAATGTAAGCTTTATATTGAGAATGTTTATAGTTGCTGCATTTTTCTCTCTTTTTGCCTGATGATTGGTTCTGCCAAATGGATATGCATGGTACCTATTCAGGTCAAATGAACATATTTTTGTGGGAACCAGCCATGTCATATCTACAAAACTTGTGGATCAAAAGAGCTTAAAACCTTAAGATCTAGAGATATTCAAGGTAGTTGTAATGGGTGTTTGCTATTCTTTTGCATATTTTGCAATATTTGTTTTAAGGATTTCAGGGCATTCATTATCATTATTTTTGTACCATGCTCGTTTTCTGTACGGGAAAATGCAGTGAAATTTATTACCTCCTCATCTAGCAGGTACCAAGCTGTGTTTGGTTCTTTCTGTTTTAAAAGGTTTGCCTTTTTTGCAGGCATTGTACTTGAAAATTTGATACCTTTGCAACTATATGTTTATAGAGAATCCTAGATATAGTTTTAGATTCCTCCAAGCAATTTAAACGTATTGAGTCGAGTTTTTTAGTCATTATTTCCTAAGTTGTCGTATGCATACAAGAAAATGAATATTTTTGCAATTTTCCTAGTAATAATGCTTGACAACTCCTAAGCAAGATTGCATGTTTCTGTTTTTATCGGAGGTAGATTTTACCTAGCCAGTTTGTTCTCTCACAAAACCTGTGAAGTATATGTAATTTATCAGTTCTCATATTGTGAAGTTATTCTGAATAGTCTCACACAATTGTGGGTTGATATACTGCTGTAACTTTCAGGATTTCTTCTTTGCGGGTGGAATGAATCAGGGAAGTACACCATTACCATGAAGATGGTACCAAAGCGTCTACCTTGCTCACACTTTGCCCAAAAGGAAGTCCGTCTTACTATCGCACAGGTGAAACTGGAATATTTATCTTTTGTGGAGTGATTTAAATCAGCAGTTTGATAGTGTAGCATGGAAACAACTACTACGTGGATCTACGTTTTCACCAAGGATCCTCTAGAGTTTTTTTTTTCCTAAAGTTTCCTAAAGTGGTGTGTTGTATGGGTGAGATTTAATACTAAAAAATTGATGTGACTTGTCATTAAATCTCAACCATACAACACACCACTCTAGGAAACTCTAGGAAAAAAAAAACTCTAGAGGATCCTTGCTCCTAGGTTTTTCCATCTGGAAGGGGCAGCCTGTGAAGCCATGCCCAGCCTGTTGCTTACTTGGCTTAATTGGTTGAATGTGTTGCTCACCAACTTGTCAATAGGAGCCGCAGATTTCCATCATGCTTTGTATTTTACGGTGGCAATGCGTTCGTTCACTGGGGAGGCTTTCCGGATTAACAAGCTGACAGAGTAGGTAAAGATTTGTGTGGTTTGGTCATTATCCATTTTAGTAATGTGTCAAATGGATAGAGCTCTTTGAAGCGGTCTTCAGATTGCCGGTTGTCTTGCAGATGTATTTTGGTTTTGGAAGTCGGTACATGAGTAATGCTAATGCTTCCCAATTTGGAAGTTCAATGTATGCTTTCTAGCTCCACCAGTTCTTCTACGTGCACAAAATCCGATCACAAAACCAAACGTCACTCTCGTATATGAAGTGAGACCAATACATTTAATGGGGTCTTGCTTTATATGAGAGAGTTGCGTTTGATTATGTGATTATGTGCACTTAGAATTGTTTCGATTTTGTGATTCAGTTGGGTGTATGGGAAAGGAAATGATTGATGTTCCCTCCCCCAAAGTAGAATTATAATCTTAATGCAGGTTTTATTGTTCAAAATTTTCATGCTTTGTTACGTTTTTTTTTTTCTTATAGAATGTAGAAAATTTGTTTAGCCAATTGTTTTGGAAAACTATTTTCTTAAATTTTTTTTTGGGGTTAAATATAAAAACAATCCACTTTTAGGAAGCATTGGATTAATTAATGTAATTTCCAATGTTGATCCAAATTTCAATTAAATACATAAAAAATAAAAAAATAAATTTATGGGATTAATTGATTATTTCTATGGTGGAAAGAAGCATTGGACAGGCTGTTATCGTGGAACACGAGTTCTGAGCGTGCACTTTACTGTTCATTTATTTAGGGTTAAACAATTTCATTCTCACTTTAAATCTAATTTCGGCTTGATTTTTAAGTTTGAGGGTAAAATTAACGATTTTAAGATATTTATCAATTTCTTAAAATGTACATATAGAAAAAAAATTAATGAAAATTTGGACATAATGATCAAATTAAAATTGGATTTAAGGTACATGGGTTAAATTGTTCAATTTGAAACTATAGAAATCAAAACAAAAATTTAAGTCAAAGTATAAAGGTTAAAAGTGTAATTAATCATTTATTTATTGGGAAATGTTAATTTTGATAAAATTATAAAAAAAGTGTATTAAAATTTGTAAATAAAAAACAAATATATGAAATTGTATAAAAATATATAAAATGTTTATTATAATTTTAAATTTTTTGACTTATCTTAATGTTGACCATCGATAGTGGTAAAAAAAAAATATCAAATAATACTTGAGTTGATCATATTTTCATATTATATGTTGATACATACATCATTGGTAAATTAAATCCCACTGCTCATGTCTAACTTTTATAAAATTTTATTTTACAATCATTACAAGGCAAATGAACATGCTTCTTCTTCGCTCTCTAAATCCTTGTAAACTCTTGTGCTCCAACCATCCAATCCTCCAACAAGAATCCTTTAATTTTTATTTTCAAGATTTTTAGAATAATAGTCCATTAAAAGTAACAATGTATTTTATTTGACCCCCCCAAAAAAAACCCCCAAAAAAAAAAAAAAAAAAATTCCGGCTGAAGCTTAAAAGCGGGTGCCAAAGAGGCTGGGAAATCTGTTGCAAATAAAAAAAAGGACCTGGGAATCATTTGCCGCTCGGTTGTATAACTAAATTTAACTTCATGCAAAGCAGAACCACCAAAAACCAATAATTAAACTCTCAATTCCCAAAGAAGAATAGAAAATGACTACAAATAAATTTATATATAAGTGCTGATATTAGCACCCATTAATTATTTTAGACTCTTTATTTTTTAATTTTTTTTTATTACAAAATTAACCTTAAATGAAATTACTAAAAATGACAAACACTTCATCACACAATTAAACTCACATACTCACTACATCACGAGTTAAGATTTATGAGAGTATCCACTTTTATCACCACTCATCTATCTTCTCCAAATCCCCCATCCATCTTCCCCAAATCTCACCTTCAAAATCTATCCACTCTCCAAACCTTGAAAACCTTTTGATGACAATATTCCGACAGTAACGGTGGTAACTATTTGATTATATACACTCTCCGGCAATGACAATGAGTGAAATTTTTTTCGGCAACCACAACTTCATGAGACGTGAAAAGTACAACAATAAAAATTAAGAAAATGTTCAGTGTTCTTAGCTCGGAGGAGATTAACCTTGTAAGGGTAAGTTTTTTAAAAAAAATAATAAAAACAATAAAAACTATTTTTCATTTTTTCGAGACTGAACTCCCAAACCTATGACTAAAATTCGAGAACACAAGCCCGAACATTATTTATTTGTTTAGGAACATGTAATCGATCATTTTTTATTTGTTCGAGAACAAATAATCAAAACAGCAACAGAAGCAAACAAACAAAGGAGGTCAGACTACCCTCGGGTGTTCGACCGGGGAGTCGACCAATGAGTGAAATCCTGCTTAGTTTTGCTCACACAGAGAACATATAAGTACAATGAAGCCATAGACAAATGACAAAAAAACTAACCAGAGAAGTATAAAAGTAAATTGTGTTACGTGTTAAAAAAGGTAATAGGAAAAAAAATCAAACAGATTGATAAACCTCATAATGAAATAGAGAAAAAACTACTTAATCACCACAAATTTTTTTCACTAGTTTTGAGAGATTTCATCGTCGTGAATTTTATTAAGATTTTGAAAGAGAGGCTTTTTGGAGTGTAAGGAGATGTACAATTGAATTGGTTGAATGTTTTTACAAATATAATTTTAGTATTATTTAGGGAGAGAAGAAATTTTAAAAGTTATAATTTATAAATAGAGATCCAAAGAAATGAGGAGTCTAAAATAATTGATATTGTGCTAATAGCAGCACTCTAATATATTAGTGAAAAATTTTGTACCAAAAATACCGAGTCAAACAGTTGTTACTTGAGTTTGCCTGTTCTACAGAGGTTGTATTTGGTGTCAGACAAACAAAACAGTTTTATTCTCTCTCTCTCTCTCTCAGCAACCACCCTGCATTTCAAAGAAAGGGAGAAAACAATTCTACACCTCTTCAAAATTCACAAAAAGAATGACTTAATTTTCATATTTAGGGTATTAAGAGCATATATCAGCTCTTTCAACTCATTTCACCGATATTCTAATGCAACACACCAGCCTCGTGCAATAAACAGGCATAAAAAAGCTTCCTTTCAGGATTCCACATTCCATGTTATAAATGACAGCACCAAAAGAATCATTTCCAGAAAGCCAGAATTGGCCTGTCAAATCCAGATTTGCTGCCTGATAAGCGGGAAGTGATGTTTTCTACCATTCTAAATCCAATCTGCAACCGTACCAAAAATCAATGATCAAACATTAGCAAATCACTTTCAATGAGAAAATCCAGGCCCCAGATGATTGTCTGGGGTTTCTTTTGGTTAATTTAAACGTCATTGCCAAATCAGAACAAAACATGACATGTACCTTGTCCAGAAGAATTTCTTGAAAACCATCGGGATAAATCTTAATATTGTGATAATTAGTTTGTGCCATCTGCAGAACAAGTTAAAAATCATTGTTTCAGTCAAATAAGTTCCAACCAACATAATAAAAAAACCTAGTTCTAACTACTGTGTGCTACAAATGAAAGTGTGCTAGTTTCTCTCTCTCTGACCATTGTAAAGATCAGAGGCTAACTTTATTTCATCTATGACTAAACTCACAAAAATTGTTTTGTACTTAGAAAATGAAATTAGAGATTTACAAAACTATGGAGTTTTGAAAAATCAGTTTGATAGAAAAGAAGTTGGCAATCTAGATGTTTTGGTTTAGATGGATACCCAAGCAATTTAAGCATATGGGTGAGAATGCTACATCTGCAGATCTGATAAGTGGGTTTTAATAACTTTATTATTGTGTTTACTAGACAATTGGATGATCTCCCTGGGGCCAGAATAAAGCCATACCAAAAACAAAAGAAACAAACAACACGGAAATCAAAGGGAAAATGTCATACCTCTGACACTTGACGGTTTTTGTAATATGATTGCCACGGCTGGGGTTCCAAAATAAGAATGCCACCCTGCTCAAGATAAATATAATATTTTAACAAATTGCTCGGAAAAATCAAATATGTGCAAGAAAAGAGTCAAGACAAAAGGTTAGACAACAAAATGTACCGGTTGAAGAAGCTTCCAGATCTTTGCAAATAAAAGAATCAATCCATCATCACCCCAGTTCAAATGGATCCACTTTGTTACACTTAAACTGCAAAAAGTAGGAAACAAATCCCTTTCACCATAAAATTAGCCACAGATAAGACCAAGGTAAACTAGTAAATGAAACATTTATACTGTGATTCTAGAATATACTGCAGTATCGTAAGGCTCAGCATTTTAATTAAAAAACAGTAAAATGCTGTTAAACCCCAAAAAAGAAACAAATAAGGAAGAACAATATGTAAAGCAAAAGTGATTCTCACAATATTGTATAATATAATCAATGCTATGTGAATCAATGTTTTCATAGACTACATCAAAATGCAATTGAAAAAGAGAAGGAATACTATAAAGATAAACAGCTAGTTATAATTCATTCCTTCTTTGACCAAACAAGGTTCCATAAGAAAGTACATTTTATAATTAAACAAAAATAATGTGATTCAAAGTATTCTGTTAAGTCACAAGAAAATCCCAGAGACAAGTAATTTGCTTTTTCATAAATCTTACATAAAACTAGTGTGGGCGCTATATTAGGAATTGCAGTTACTATGTCTTAAATGAAAAACAGTGGCAAAATCAGTAGTTGGTGGATTAGTTACCACCCTAAGTTTTTCCATTTTGCTTTGAAATGGACCCATGTTCAGAAGTTTTCGGGTCAAGATTTTACTTAAGAACCCGAGATTTCCAATTATTTCGATTTTCTTAATTTTAAAGGCATGTCTTCCTTAAAAGTAAAACACATATTTGGTAGAGCTGAAGAAAAGCAAGAAATAACTTACCAAAGAATTGTATGGTAGCACTTATCCTCTGGTGGCCACCAATTCTGAACAAAATTTTCCTTTCGGAAAGTAACAATATTTAAAAGATCTTTTCCTTGCAAAGAGGAACAATTCATTAAACTCTCCCTAGTCTCTTCAGTCTCTAGATTGGTGACACTGTTTTGCACACCATTTACTCCCCCTGCATCTTCCAACTTGGAGGTCTTGGGAGGTATCTTACGAGTGTTCGTCTTCACAGTTCTTCTGAGATTCCAATATGCATCCTGGACTCGATCTGCAAGAAAATGAAAAGAAAAACACTGATTTACGATTCTAAGTACAATCTTCAATTTCGAAAGGTTATGACATCATTAATACTTAAAAAATCAAACCAAACCAAACTAAGCCTTGTGTCTCAATCAAGTGAGATCGGCTACATGAATCCATCTCTTCCATTCTTCTTTATCAAGGCTATATGCTTGGTTAAATTAAAATTCTTAATACTTAATATACAATCTAAAACCTATTGCTTCCTTCCATAAAAGGCAGAGAAATACTTCAATGTCTTATTTTCTACTTCCCAAGTAATGTTCTCTGCCACCCCTATCTACCCATCATCTTTCAACAAAAACCTACCTAATCCATTTCCCTCAGATTTTCCTTGCTGAAAGTTGCTTCACAAACTCCTACATTTTGCTCATTCAAAGTCACTAGTGAAACAGCCAAAATGTCCAACGATCTATTCTAACAAAATAAATATCCATCCAATCTTGTAAGCAAACATACTTCATCGTAGATTATTACACACTCCCCTTTAATCTTGATTTATAACTCTCCAATATCGAGTCCAACTCAGGCCACCCACACATACTCCATCATGAGCCACCATACTCCATTGAGAGCCACCTTGTCGTAGTCCAACCTTGCCACGTGCACCAAGAATTTTCTTTGCTCCATCAAGAGTTATCATGGATTTTTCTTGCTCCATCAAGAGTTTTTTGTGCAAACCCAAGCCCACCAACATCAATGCTTGAGGAGAGTCCGCCTATAGGTCAGTCTGCCATTGGCTCTAATACCAGTTGTTAGGGAATCAAGGAGCCCACAAGGGTACAACCTATGTTACACGGATTCGCCAATTTTGGCGAAGTACCCATGTCGCCACGACACAAATACGGGCACGGAATCCGGCCAGGATATGACATGGAGAAAGTGGATACAGTGTCATACCTGCGATTAGGGTTTTGATCGTCTTCGTCACTCTCTTCTCTCATTGTCGATCTCAATTGTCTTCGTCTCTCTCCCTTTCCTCACTCTCGATCTCCTTTTCATCTCTATTTGCTTCTCTCTCTCTTCGTCTCGGTTTTCTCTCTCTCTCTCTCTCTCTCTCTCTCCATTTTAAATTAATAGAATTTGTTTTATAAAATATAATTTTTATGCCTAAAATAAAAAATTATTTATTTTATCATATATAATATAATTTCTTTTGTGCCTAATATAATTTTTATTTGTTATTTCTTTTTATTTTTTTTACAGAATTTATTATTTCTTAACTTTTTAACATATAATAAATAAAATAAATCATCTAATTGTTTAAAAGAAATCTAATTAAATTATATATAATAAAAAAATCTATAAAATAAAATATTTATTTTTTATTTATTTTAACATAATTTATTATTCCTTATTTATTATAATTTTATTTATAATATATATGTGTCAATTAAAAATAATACATAAGATAAAAAATAAAAAATATATTTAAAAAATAACTATTTAACTCATCTTTATATAATAACTATATTTAAAAAATAACTATTTAATGTATCCCTGTACCCATACCTACATTTGGATCCACATCCACATATCCTCATTTTTTAGTTTTGAAGTGTTCGACCCCCAGTTACGCACCCGCACTCAATACCTACACTCGAGTCCATATAACATAGGGCACAACAATATCGGCCCAATCCAACAGGAAGAAACTCTAGAGTCCACAAACATTATATCAAAGCCTAACTTACATTATTTGGAACTCATACCCACTTAAAATCTTAAGCCTATAAGTGGAGAGCCCATCTAATGTATGTTAACCCCTATCTCCTTTTATTCTTTATCCAATGTGAGACTCTACCTTCACACATGCTCCAACAATTATCACTTGAGCAACACATACTATATGTGCATTTTTTTTATCATTATTATTATATTACGGTTTTTTTTTTTTTTATAGTTGCACATGCATTGCGTGTGCGGCCCGCTACTATATATATACGCATATGAACATAAATGATTTCACAATTTTTTGAACATGTGATCATGTTATATCAAGAATAGACCCAGGTGCAGCAATTTTAATTTTAGTTACAAAAGAAATTAAGATTATACTTCAAAATCTTACCTCCGTCGATGTCGACTCCAAGGATGCTTCGGCAGCCAAAATTTTTCGCTGTGTATGGAAAAAATATAAAAGTTAAATTCATTGTGAAACAATTGATGTAGGAGGGAGCCACAGATTTCATTCAACACATCTAGGTAAGAATTGAGTTACAGACAAAAATGTGAATTTTTTGAGCTTTCAAACTCTAGATGCACCGATATACATTAAATTTTATCAATCCACATTGATTATTATTCTATACCCAGATTTGCTATTTATGTTATATCTTATCTTCATTGGAAAAAACAAAAGAAAAAAGAAAAAGGAACAAAGAAGGAAAAAAAAGAATTTACCAATATTAACAAATTATATCTTCTTGTCGTTCCAAAAAACCAATAAAAAACTTTGTCGAATATTACTAATCATATCATGAATCAAATCAAATCAAAAGTCACATTACTAATCATATCACATACACAAGTTTTTATTTTTTAGTTCTCCTTTCTGATTCCAAAAGACAAAACAAAAACATAAAATAGAAAATAAATAAATGATTGCAACAACAGAGGCACCCTCAAAAAAAATAACATAAAATAAGAGACGAGCATCACAAAAAAAAAAAAAAAAAAAAAAAAAAAAAAAAAAAAAAAAAACAACAACAACAAAAAAGATTTGATACCTTGTAGTAGAACTTATACTTGATAAAAATATTAAATCGCATAAAGTCAGCAAATGAGGTGGGTTCATTAAGAATTCAAAATAAAAAATTGAATACTAGAGATAATCACTACATAGAAGGCACAAAACATTTGGAAAACCAATACCGAAAATTAAGATTCAACCCAATAATTAAGTAGAAATTGTGATCATTATCGTCCCATTATTGCAACCAATGTCCAGAAAAAAACTAGAGACAGTAAAGCATAATGGCATGGCATGACACAAAACCTATGGGAAACCAATACTGAAAATTAAGATTCCACAGAAGAATTAAGTACCAATTGTTATGGTTATCGTCCCATTATTGCAACCAATGTCAAGACAATCCTTGCCCTCAAACCATTCCTTCTTCAAAACCTTCAACCTAGGATCTTCCTCCAAGTCCTGACCAACCTGAAAACAGTGTTTTCCGTACATCCAAAAAAATCAGTGTTTTCGAGGATAAAAAATGAAAACTTTATCAAATGCTCAAAAGACTTTTAACAATTTCAAATTACCTTAAAATCAACCAACGTGATAACATCCATACATACAAAAAAAATCAATGTTTTGGAAGGAAAAAACAAATAAAAACTCTATCAAATACTCAAAGACTTGAATAATTTGAAATTGCCTCAAAATCAACCAACCTAATAACATCCATACATTCAAAAAAAAAAAAAAAAAAAAAAATGAAAACTGTATGAAATACTGAAATTCCTTGAACAATTTCAAATTGCGTAAAAATCAACAAGGAAGCAAGCATTTAAAATCTCTGAGAAGCAGTCAATTTAAATGTGAAAGGGGAAGATTACGCGATAGCCGTAGTAGTTTCTGTAATTGCCAAAGATGGCGACTTCTTTGCGTTTTCTCTTCTTATTCGATTGTTGACCTCTCCTTTCAACCTCTTCCTTGTTGTCGCCGTGGTTGTTCTCGTTATGGCCCATATTTTTGGGGGGTTTTTGGTGCTCAAAGTTGAGAGAGAGAGAGAGAGAGAGACGATAGTTGATTTGGCTTGATTTGAAGAGACAAATAGAGCCGAAAGGGTTTGCAGGATTAGAGACTATTTGGTTTGATTTGGTTTGAGAGAGAGAGAGAGAGACGATAGTTGATTTGGTTTGATTTGAAGAGAGAAATAGAGCCGAAAGGGTTTGCAGGATTAGAGACTAGTAGGGTTTATCATTACTAGCAAAATATAGAGACGAAAGCATATATACAAAGAGTAATGCTAGAGACTCTAAAAATTTTATTAAAAGTTTTACCAAATGTTTTATATGGGTGTGGGACTCATATGGGACCCACATTGTGTGGGTCCCACACCCATGTGAGACATTTGGTAAAACTTTTGGTAGAATATTTGGGATCTCTAACATTACTCTTTGTATATATGCTTTGCTTTGAGCGGTGATCTCTAGCATTACTCTTTGTATATATGCTTTGCTTTGAGCGGCCTTGGTGATGCTACTGCTTTCAGAAACTGTTTTTTTGTTTCCAAAAACAGAAAATATGCGCCCCCCCGGGGGGCCAATTTCCCTGTTTGGGGCGTTTTCAAAATTTTAGTCCTACTTTAGGATGTGTTTTTATCTTTATTCTCAAAATAGGGTAAAACGGTTTTTGTAATGCCGTTTTTCAGAAAATGGTTTTTGAAAAACCGTATTTATCGATTAAAATAATAATAAAATTTGAAAATAGAAACCGGCTTTTCTAAAGCCGTTTTTAATTAAATTTTTAATTAATTCTGAATTAATTCACATTAATTTTTTTTGTAATTTATATTTTCAACATAAATATTTTTTGTTTAGAAATTTTTTTTAATAAAAACCGGTTTTAGGAAAGCCGTTTTTTGACAAATTTTTATTTTAATTAAAAACGAAGCAAGAAAAGCCGTTTCATTATACACAAAACCTCCCCTTCTCCCTTGCACTTACGAAAGCCGTATTTGACCCATCTTCTTCTCCCTCACTCAGCCGAACTCCGAAGGAAGACCGACGACGAACAACGCAGGAAGACCGACGACGAACAACGGCCAAGAGTAACCATTGGCAAAACGAGGAACACCTGCATCAAACACCCATATTCAGGTTTGTATCGTATAAATTAGGGTTTTCATTTTAGATTTGGGATTTTAAATTTCGAAATTAGGGATTCAGATTTCGGATTTTATAATTCGAAATGAGGGTTTGTAAACTTTTCATTCAACAACGCAGGAATTTTTTGTATAAATTCTGCGTTGTTTGCAAACCCCTTTCTCTCGTCAATTGCTTCATTAGTTGTGGGTAGAACCATTATTTTCATTCACCCTCCGTTTGGCTTCTTGGAAAACCCAAGAGAAAGAAAAGGAAAAGATCAAGATTTCCATTCTTTTGCTTGCTAATATGTTTACTTGAGTGGGCTTTATTTATTTTTCTGTTCTTCTTGTTCTTTTTTATGTTAATTTTTTGTATACTATACTTGAATTTTTTTTCTTATTTTCTCATATTTTCTCTGCAATCTAACACAGCATATCTGTATTTTTTAGCTGTTTAGTTAGAGGATTAACCAATTTCATGTGTCATTACTCTGTCTGGACTATCATTAATTAAACTTGTTAATAATGTCTACTTAACTTCTCAAGGAAAACCTGAAATTTCCCATAATTTCTATTTAAAGTTGCTACTTTCTTTTTTGAATTTGTATTTTCTTTTTTCCCCAATTGTCACATGGCTGCTCCAATGAAGCATTTCTAGAAAAGGGAACCATCACCATTTTTTAATAGCTTTTTGGTTTTTAATTTTGTTTGATGAGCTTATATGGTTTCTTCTGTCTATGAATTTTGAGTTAATTTTGGGGTGATAGATAAGTTTTGATTGCTTTCTTTTTTTGAGTATGCCTTTGGCATGTAATAATATTTCCAAAATTGCTTTGTTTGTTTGTGTCTGTGTGTGTGTAGAGAGTCTTGTTATCCCATGATTTGACGCATCCCTTGAAATGTGCTAATTTTTTGTATCAATGGTGAGGTTTTGGTTATATGCAACTTATTGTTTGCTGAGTTTTCACAAAACATCATAGTGTTTTATTTTTCTTTTACAAATACTATGATCTCCAAAATTTTATAGGAATTGCTATTCTTCTGTTGATATTAATGCCTCTTGTCTACTGAATTCGTTGCTGTCTGAAAAGTTACCTAGATTGTTCAAGTGGTTGATATTAAAGAGCTAGGTGTTATTGACTTTATTGCATGTACTGCAGTCTGCATGTATAGTCCTGAGATGTTAATGTGTGAGGAACAATCTTCTATAGGAAATCTTAATTTGTTGTGCTCAATTGCTAAGCTCTATCTACTAATTAATGAGATTTTCTTTTTCTTTTATGTTCCAACATAATGATAGTGAACTTGGTTACCGTTACTAGTTTTCCATGCTATTTCTTCTAACCTCAAGTTGATAGATATTAGGTTCACTAATTTTGACCTTTATATTTATTAATAATGATTATGATTTTAATGGATTGGAGAACTTAAAATGATTTATTGAGGACCAAATAACGAATCAATACTCAATTCTCAACCAACTATTGATGGAGATCATGGATTTGATCGGTACAAGCACACCAACAAGTTTGTGGATTCAATTAGAGTTGTTTTGTAAGTTGTAATTTATATTTTGTTCTTTATAGTGGATTGGTTGATTGGACTAGGTCCTGTGGTCTTTTCCAGATGGGTTTTCCATGTTAAAATTCATGAGTCTCTGTTTGTGTGATTGATTTATTTTTATGCTTGCAATTTAGATTGAATGATTAAATTAATTAACCAAACACCACCAAAGCAATCCATATCAACGAATAAATTTTTTCCCAATTGGTACCAAAGCATAATGATTTTGCATATCATAGTATTATATGTCTTGAGGAACATTGAGTTATTGTTTCTTGCTGCATTTTGCATGAGGTGGCGGCTTTGATCCTTTATGGAGTTTGATTTCCTCTTGTTCTTGTTGATTAATGCATTATATTCTTTAAGAATGGAGATTATACATTTTGGACATTTTACTATGCTAATTTGTAACGAGATTATACATTTTGTTACTGATGTTACACAATTTTATGGTAAAACCATATTTTTGTGATAGAGTGCAACCCTTTAGGGCCAGATATATAGATACTAGGGTAAAATGCCCATGCCTTGCACGGGGTTAGAGGTACTATTGTGATAAATTTAAATTTAAGAAATACACACATTGTAATAGAGTTTAGAATTTTTTTTTTTTAAAAAAAAATGAGCTTTTATTTTTGTCTTCATCTATTTTTTATTTTTTTAAGATTTTAATTAAAAATCTATTTATTTTGATGCACCTAATATAAATATACTTAAAATTTTAATATTTATGAGAAGTCTGAAAAAAATTTCACTAAAAAATAAAAAATATGAAAAACTGCTTATTTTTTCTTATTTTTATTTTTATTTTTAGTAAGCTTTTTTTTTTCTTTTTTTCTTTGTTTGTTGTTAATTTTGGCTAGTACTTTGTTCGGTGGTACTGTATGGGTGTGCATATGTGATGTCAAACCTGGGTTATAAATTGATATTAAAGAAATCAAATGTTGTTATTAAAATGTGCTAATTTTCCCGTCTTCTCTAATAGGATCAAAATTTCGTTTCCGTACATTCTTTCAGTTAGGTTGGAAATGAAAATAGAATTGGAAACTTTTCAAACTTTTCGAAAACATGAGAAATAACAAAAAGATTTGAAAGTGTATGAAAATATTTAGGAAAAAAAAAAAAAACTTTTATTGATGTTAATAAATTCTCAATAGTTAATTACTTGAACATAAATTCTCAAAAGACCCATGCCTAAAGGCACTACTGTGTAATATATGTGGTGTTGGCTCTCAAATGTTCTTACTTTATTATTTAGAAATAATTGAGTTACTTTGAATGCAAAGTGTAGGTATGGAAGTTGTGAGCATTATGTTCTATTGGGGTGGAAAGATTTTGAGCAATCGCGATGAAGGTGTGTCGTACGACATCGAACCTCAGGGGTTGTATAATGTGCATAAGGGGATAACATTGGCCGAGTTGCAGGCTATGATGGTGCCGAAGGTTGGTACGCATGGGGAAATAATGCGATTAGAGTTTAAATGTAGACTCCCATGTCGGAGGAAGTATAGGTTGCTGCCAATCAAAGATAATGAGACCTTAAGTAATGTGTTAGAGCTCCCATGTAAATTAGGCCCTGATTATTTTTTGGAAATCTATGTGGAGAAGGAGAGCAATTTTGGTGGCACAGAGATGCCAATTCCGGTGGGTAGGACATTCACTCAAATGTTGACACAATCGCAATCCCCTGACAATACACTTATACAGTCTGCACACATGTTTCCTGAAGATTACCCTCCATTCAATCATTCTCAGAGTTATAATCAATTAAATGCATCACAGAACCTAGATGGTTATTACAGTGCTGGAGCAGGTCCAAGTGCTCCGACAACGTATAATCCGATGGTTCTTACAACCCCATATCCCCACTGGAATGAAGAATGTCCACCGGTTTGTAATGTTCAACGTACACCGGAGACGGCTGTCCAAAATTATGCATACTCCGATGATACAGTGCCATTGTTTGACGAGGTTGGAGTAAGTGATGAAGATTCCGTGGAAGATTTGGATGGCGCATGGGAAGGTGCGGACAATGACTCCGGTGATGACGAAGTTGGAGGGCATCATGATATGCAGGAGGTACACACAAATGTCCATATCCCTTTCTACCATAATTTGCATTTCGACAATGATGGTTCCATCACTAGCCGTGATGTTGTCGAACGTTGGCCATTGTGGGACTTCGAAACTGCTAATTTGGAGAAAGGAATGATATTTACTGATAAGAAAAGACTAGTGCATGCTGTTCAGTTGTATAACCTGAAGCGCAATCGAGAATGTAAGGTCGTAGAATCCAAAGGAAACAGTTGGGTGGCCTAGTGCAAGCACGGCTGCAACTGGAGGGTTCGGGCAACGAAGTTGAAAGACAAAGATTTCTTTCAAATTAGAAGGTTCGAAGCGCCGCATCAATGTGTATACCCTAGAATGAATAGGGACAATTGCAACCTCAAGTCCGAGGTCATTGCTCATTTCATCAAGGCACAAATTGCGGTAAGTGCCATGCTAGATACATTATTGTTTTTAGGATTTCATTATGACTGTAATGTATTCAAATATAATGTATATTTGCAGATATCACCAGAATTGCCTCTTGCTACCATAATTGAGGTCGTGAAGGAGAAGTTTCAGTTCACTATATCATATAAGAAAGCGTGGCTTGCAAGGACGAAGGCAGTTGCAATGGTGTTTGGTGGCTGGGACGAGTCGTACCGAAGGTTGCCTAGATATATGGCTGCATTGCAGGCATTCAATCCAGGCACAGTTGTCATGTGGGACATGATTCCGAATTTGCACTCTATCTCAATCGGAGCTGAAATGTACATGAACTATGTGTTCTGGGCATTTAAACCTGCAATAGAAGGCTTCAAGTATTGTCGTCCAGTGATATGCATTGATAGCACACACTTGTACGGGAAATACGAAGGGAAGATTATCGCGGCCGTTACAGTGACTGCTGCGGACAAGATTGTACCTCTTGCCTTTGCCGTTGTTGACAAGGAGATGATCGAGAGTTGAGGTTGGTTCAGTACTCTGCTAAGGCGACATGTGTGCCGTGACCGAGAGGGGGTCACATTGATATCTGATTGACACACAGCTTTGCTTAGTGTTGTGTCAAGAATTTGGGACAATCCAACAGTTCAACCAAGAGGATACCATAGGTATTGCTTGCGACACGTATGTAGCAATTTCAATGAAAGATTCGGCAATACAGTAGCGAAGGATCTTGTGTGGAGAGCTGGTTCTGCACGGCAAGTGCGGAAGTTTAACAAGATTATGGACGATAGCTACAAGCTCGAGAAGAATGCTGAACGGGTTTAGACGGATGGACCCTATTCATTGGACATTGTGCCATGATGGTGGTTGTCGTTGGGGCATATTGACGACAAACCATATAGAGGGCTTCAATGGTGTACTGAAAGGCGCACGCAGTGTTCCCATTGCAGCATCAGTTGAGATAACATTTTATCGGCTCGTGAAATATTTTGACGAGGGTAGGACCATTGCTGAAAATGCGAGCCATCGGGGTCACTTGTACACAGCTAATGTTCAACGATGGATTGACAAGCACCAAGCTAAAGCGAATGTGCATATGTTGGTACCGATTAATAGGTAATTTTTATTGGATGCACCGAATTCACTACACATTAACATTTTGCACTCATCGATCATAGATGTTAGTCAATATTTAAACATATATGCATATTAATCCACGTACATACATTTTTCCTGCAGGGGAATAGGGGAATATGAGGTGAGGACAGCACCGCATGGGATGGGGGGTGGTGCTCGTCAAATAGTTAGTCTCCGACCACCGAGTTGTTCATGTGGGAAGTACACATTATCTCACTTGCCATGTTCCCACATGCTTGCTGTGACAGCAGATTTGGGCGAGGACCCTTTTCCTTTCGTTGCACCAGAGTATAGGTTGGAAGTCCATAAGCGTATCTTCGCGCAGAAGTTTAGGCCCATGCCGCACGAGCACTATTGGCCTGACAATGATTACCCAACTTTGCTTGCGATTCCAGCTCGACAATGTGAAGTTAAAACGGGTCGTCCTCAACATAGCCGCATACACAACGAAATGGATACTTCCAGACAAAGTGGATTGCACCATTGTAGTTTGTGTTTGCAGAGAGGGCATGATAAGAGAAAATGTCCAGCGAGAATCCGATCGATTCGACAGTAGTTGTTTGTCTTCTTTACATATTAGTTCCACGCTACTTTCTTTGAATTGGAGTCAATGTAATATTCAATGAATCAGTATTCAGTAAATTCATAATGTATTTACGACTTCAATTACTAATGACATAGATTTGGTCATTAGTAACAAATCTCTTCAATTGCTTTAGTTGTTGCAAGTGTCCTTTGTGCATTGGATTGTGCAGACTTTAGTGCGTTGATGGTCGATTGTGTCCTGACCTCGATGGACACCAGTTTATCTAATGTTAGAAAAATGCAAATATTCACAGGATGAATTGATAATCACCAATATAAATGCAGTTTATATTCAATGTGTGTTTTGCCACATTTTGTTATGTGGGAAACTAATTTTTTTAAAATATTTTTCCCAAAATCCATTACGTGGGTGAAGGCCCATTTTATGAATTCAATCATTTCTCAGACATTTACTACGTATTCGTATATGCTTAGTTCTTGTAAAAAGTTTGACTAATGTGTTTCAAATCTACATAAAACTCTCTTCAAACCTTTGTACTTCTTTCCTGTCCAAATGGCAACTCCTTTAAAGTGAAAGCACGTTTTTTCATGTCATATAGGTTGACGTGACAACACACTGACAATAACTTTAATCACATAGGTACCGTGTGAACCTTATCTCCTATGACAATAATGTCAAATGAATTACTAATCACCAATATAAATGCATGTCATATTTAATGCGTTGCCACATTTTGTTACGTCGTGAATTATTTTTTCAGTTTCCAAACATTCATTACGTAAGGGAAGACCATTTTATCAGTTCAATCTTGTGTTTTAAATTTAGTACATATTGGTAAATGCTTAGTTGTTCTAAAAAGTTTGAGTAATGGATTTGAAATCTACTTAAAGCATGGGTTCTCATGTCATAATTTTGGCGTCACAATGCGCTAACAATATCTTTAAACTCACAGGCACCATGTGTACCTTATCTCCTATCACAATAATGTGAAATGAATTACTAATCACCAATATAAATGCATCTAATATTCAATGCGTAGCCACATTTTGTTAGGTGGTGAATTGTTTTTTAGTTATCAAGAAATTTTTCCAGGCAACCCTTTCTTTTTGTTTTCCCTAACTTGTTACAATTTGTATGCCTGTGATATACTGTCAGGTCGTATTCTAATTTTGTCAGCATATGTATGTACTATTGTCAAACATCTTGTTATCGGACATCGATTTCATATATGAAAACTTGTGCAGGTCTATGACTCATTTAGCAGAGGAGATCCCACTATTGACTCATCAGCATCGAGCTGATACGATATGGCGTCAGTCAGTATGAATTATTTACTTGTAATCGATATTTGAATACTACACAAACACTGTAGTTGTTACATAATATAATGTGAAACTGTAAATGTTAGTCCATGGATCATCCTATTTGGACATTTCAATGGTTTAGACAAATTTCCCCAACTGTAAACGTTAGTCCATAGAGAGAGAACGAAGAATATTATATTAAATGGACCGCTAGCTTAACCAAAAAAAAAAGGTTAAAAAGTTGATAATCATTAAGTTTAACAATTACCCCAAGTTCACGCTTATGATATTAATGACTACAGTATCGAAGAAAGTTGATAATCATCGATTAGAGTTTAGAGTTTAGAACACAAACAAAATCAATTATTGACAACGTGAGTATTTTAGATTGTTCGTTTACTTAAATAACTTTTAACTTATTTCATACTACAACAACTTGCATTAATATAGTTCAAGCGACATTTTTCATTTCAAAATAAAGGACTTTAAACTCTTCCAAATATATTCATTATATGTTATATTAGTCTGTAATATTTCGTTGTATTAATTTGATCCCCAACTTATTTAATTCTTATCTCAATGATGAAATGACAGCTTAGTTATATTTTACGCCCTTCTAATTTAACTGAAAATCACATAAACCCCCATTGCAGTCTACAGTGAAGGGTACAACCCAACTTCGTTAACAAGTGTACCAAACATTCTAAAACTTATATTAGTTTTGATGGAGCCTTTTATTTCTATGTCATGACACTGCAAATCTGTGTCTGTATGTATTTATCTTTGTACATTTACACCACTTACGCACTATGCACCACTAAAATGTTGGTTATCTCACCCACTGTTTCAGTTAATAGAAGATGGGTTCATTATGAAATTTCAATAGTCATTTGTACAAGCATTATGTCTCTTACACACAACGTTGTCTTGTGCAGGCGAAAGATCAGCCGAAACTGAAATGCCGACGATCTGATTCTGGCATATGGGACACCGCCTTGGACCATAGAGTCCTACGTTGCCTACTCCGTGCGGGGTTCTATGGGGTGTATCGGATTGGGCCTATTCGATTGGACCACCATCTCGTTACAACTCTCGTAGAGAGGTGGCGCATAGAGACGCGCACATTTCATTTTCCTGTTGGAGAGTCCACAGTTACATTACAAGATGTGGCTATTCTATTTGGCCTACCGGTTAACGGACATGTAGTCACTAGAAAAGACCCAGGAAAGAAGTTGGATGATTTGAAAGCGCTATGTGTGGAGTTGTTAGGAGCAGCACCTACAGTAGAAGACTTCATAGGCTCATCGCTTAAGTTGAAATGGATATCAGAGCATTTCCATCACCTTCCACATGATGCATCCGATGAGACGGTTTATCATTATGCTCGAGCCTATATTTTGTGGCTTATTGGGGGGGTACTCGTCCCCGATAAGTCACAAAATATAGTCAATATGATGTTTTTGCCACTACTTAGAGACTTTGACCGTATCTAGGAGTACAGCTGGGGTGGTGCCACATTGGCATGTTTGTACAGGATGCTGTGTCGGGCAACTAAAGCTGATACGAAGGAGATAGCTGGCCCACTAGTGTTGTTACAAGTGAGTTGCAATGCTTGTAGTTTTATCTCATATTCTCAATTGCCATGTTTTCTAAAGTGCCTACTGTAATAAATTAATAATGGCATCATTCATTGTAGGTTTGGGCGTGGGAGAGATTGAGCAGGATCGCCTCTAGTCGGAAGTCGAACATTGTTGCTGGCGAGCATGCCATAGGGGAGGGCGACCAGCTGTTACCACCTGGGCCGTGAGCTTGCAGGTGGAGGGTTCCCTTCAGCCATGAGGTGATATCGACTAATGTCAGTGTTATCTTCCGGGACCAGTTCGACCGCATGGTGGAGGGGGAGGTTTGTAATTTGTTCATGTGAATTTACCTATTTTTTTGTTTGTCAACCTCCGTTGTACGAATAGTTCTCTAAATTATTGCATTGCTATTACAGTTCATATGGGAGCCTTACGGGACGGAGGATGACGTCATGACCAGCTTCCCATCGTATTGTACCGTTGGTCGAGACCTATGGATGGCGCGAGTGCCACTTCTATGCTTCGATATCATTGACTGGCATCTTCCCGACCGGGTGCTTAGACAATTTGGACGAGTTCAGAGTGTGCCTGATCGCTTTGATGCCCATTTGGCTATGCATTGTAGAGATAGGCGTGGCAAAATGGCCATTGATTGGGCAAAGGAATATCAGACATTTATTGGTGAGTGGAACAACCGACGCAACACCATTGTCCATGTTGAGAGGAGCAATGAAGTGCTTATATCTTCGGACCCATACATGTTATGGTTTCGCCGTCATACACGTCTAGTACTTAGTAATCCGAGTGACATTGCTGCCTTCGGATACCAAGGCGTCGGGGGTATTTTAGAGAGATTGGTAAGTTCTTTATATTCTCCAAAACAACATTTGCTTAAGTTTGTCTATGTTTGTTATTTGGCATTGATGGTTATGTAACACAACTACCATTACATTACAGGTTCGTAGAGTTGCGAGGGCATATCACATGGCAGACGCTGCCCATATTACACGCGATGCTAGAGAAAAATCGGATGCCATTGCCGAGATACGGGAGTTATTGTATGATTGTTTACAACAGGCATACCGACGTGACCGACTAGATTTCGGCCACTTTGGCGAGGATCCTTATATGGGGGTAGATATTACAGTGACATCAATGCCGCACCCAAATATGCCATCCACTAAGCCATCAACATCAATGCCATCGACATCAATGCCTCCACCGCGTCGTACCGCACGTCATGCACATCAATCGGAT